ATAGTTTCCCTGGGAGGAGTTTATTGGACCTAAACCTCTGGGTTCTTGGATTTAACTCCCAGACGAAGAGAATACTTTGAGGCTTTGCGAGTGTGGCAGTGGAGCTGAAATGATTGCATATAGGCCAGAACCCTTAGATAACTACACCTTTGACTAAAGTATGATCTGGTAGAAGCTCAGCAAAAGAGCACAGGCTGTCGACAAGAAGCATTCCAGCTCAGCCATGACTGCAAGTTAGGAAAAAACCAGCTCCTCTGGGGATTTGGTACCACAAATATGATTTCTACATTGAAACCCTTGTTGAAAACATGCACAACACTACTGTGAAGGGGCCCTTTCTTGACTTACACGGCACAAAGCTACTGCAAATAGAGTGCAACTAAATTAGTTCACCATAGAATTTCAAAACACAAAATGACATGGGGTGCCTGGATGGCTCAGGTGGTTAAGTGTTCAACTTCAGCTCAGGTCATGATCTCATGGTTCATGAGTTTGAGCCCTGTGTCAGGCTCTGTGCTGACAACTCAGAGCCTGGAGCCTGCTTTGTATTCTGTGTCTCCCTCTGTCTCTGCCCCTCCCCTGCTCATGTTCTGTCTGTCTGTCTCTCTCTCAAAAATGAATAAATACTAAACACAAATAACAGCAACAACACAAAATGACAGCATCTTTCATGATAAGAGCCAGGAGTCCCAGTAAAGACTAATTTAAAAAGCTGGGATTAAAAAAAAAAAAAAAAAAAAAAAAAAAAAAAAAAAAAACACACAAAAAAAAAACCTGTTCGCAGGATTAAAAACACCAAAAAAATCAAAATGTGAGAATAAATTGTTTGAGGGGGAAAAAGTTGATTTGAAAATTGAGGAAAATAAAACAACTATAAAAGAAAGGTACTTATACTTAAAATCTCACTATCTGAGTTGAAGAGCAGATTAGATGCAGCTGAAGAGAGTACTAGTGGATTGGATGTTATATCTGTGGGATGTTTCCAGAAGGCTGCCTCGAGTGGTTAAAAGATGGAATTACAAAAGAGTTCTTGAGAGTTACAGACATTAGAATGAAAAGAACAAAAATACATTTAAAGACCTAAAGGTATTCTAGCATAATAGAGAGAATGTGAGAGGAATACCTACATAGATAATGCTAAGAATTTTTATGTGTCATAGGATCTTCAAATTGGAAAACACCAAGGACCAAAGAAGATAAATAAAATCAAAATCAGTACCTAGAAACATCTAGGTGAGACTGCACATCTACAGAGACATAAAGAAATCCTAAAATTAACCAAAAACCATGTTATATGCCAATCATATCTCAATAAAATTTAACCAGAAACCAAATGCATGCCGACTTCTATTCTGTATTTATGAATACTAGAAATAAATGAAATAATATTTTTCATGTGCTGAATTCTGTAAAGTTAACTTAAAATTCTGCACTTAGACACTGTTCCATTATGAATAAATACACAGGAAACAAAGTCTGGAACAGTTTATTATTCATAGATCCTCACCGAAGGAGATACTGAACAATGTACTTGCAGAATAACAAGCTCTCTAGAAAGTAATGATACAAGATATTATTGAGAAAATAAATTGATACATACAGGGGCAAATCTAAATAAGCATTAATGGTGTAGCCAATCTAACTTGTGATTTTAAAAATTGAGATAGAATTATAATATCAGATAAAAATAATATGAAAGATTGAAGGGAACAGTTGAATTAAAAGCATTATGATGTCCTTTTTTCAGGAGGACACTGAAGATAATTTTTAACTGTAGAAATTTCAATTGAATGTGGCACATAGAATAGTGTCTGTGTTCTATTCCACAGACCGTGTGACTATGTTATCTTATATGGCAACAGGACTTTGCAGATGTGATTACGTTAAGGATTTTGAGATTGGGAGATTATCCTGGATTATCTAGGGGAGCCTAGGGCAATCATAAGTTACAGGGAAAGAGGGAGGCAAGAGAGTCAGAGAAAGAGGTGTTAGGATGGTAGTGATGAAGTGATGCCATTGCCAGATGTTAAGAGAGAAGGGAATTGTGAGTCAAGAAATACAGGCAGTCTGTAGAAGCTAGAAAAGGCAAGGAAACATAATCTCACCTAGGGATTCCAGAAGGAACACAGTATTGCCTCTACTTTTATTTTAACCCAGTGAACTCTAGACTTTGGACTTGGAAACTGTAAAATAATACATTTATGTTAAATCACTATATTTGTGGAATTTGTTACAACAGCAATAGGGAACTAATACAATATATTTTAAAAGTAAAAGTAACCATATATTGAACATAACCTAATGTTACTTTTCAAGCAATGGCAGAAGAAGATATAGGAAAATAAAACTAGATAGGAAGAAAGAAAAACAAGAGAAAAGAGATATAACTTGGGACATAGAATTCACAAATAAGAGAAAAATCCAAATACATCCATAGTAAAGTATTAAATTCACTTATAAAGAGATTATATAGGGGCGCCTGGGTGGCTCAGTTGGTTAAGTGTCCAACTTCAGCTCAGGTCATGATCTCGTAGTCTGTGGGTT